GGGGGGGGGCATGAATCGGAAGCTGATAGTTTAGTAATTCAGTAACCGGATTAACTAGGGCTGAAATTTTGTGAACATAGCCCATAATCGTATGAATAATTTATGTTTATAAGCTTTTAAGTCGTCTAAAGTCCCACCACACGAGAAATTATACAGACAGTTTTGTAATCGGTTTTGCACAAAACGCATGATCGCACCGACAGCAGTCTGATGAACGCTGCATGGGTTTTTCAACTTGGTCAGGAAGCGCATTTTTTGATTTTTGCAAATGATCTTTTACCTTCTCCTCTGGTGGGGTGGAAGAGGGTTGGGGACGTTGAAAATGTTCAACGAACTATTTGTGAGGCAGGAAGTTATTTAGAATTTTTTAAGCATTCAAATTTCCGTTAGGCAAACTTCATGTTTCGAAGTTAAGACGCTCATGACTGGCTTGTATAATTTAATTAAAGGGTACGGCACGTCCTGTACGTGTTACGGTTCTTGTTGATGATGACCCTCGCTTAACGATGGATGAGCTGGAAGGGATGACCAATGCATTGTGCTATGCGCATGGTATTGTGACTTCACCGATTTCACTTCCTGCGCATCTCTATGCAGCAGCAGATCTGGCTAAACGTGGACGTAACAACTTCAAAACCGAACAGTAAGTTTCAAACAATTTCCCGAAAAAAGCCGACTTTTTTTGTGTCGTATGAATTTTGTGCACAAATGTGCCGCATAAATTTTGGCCGCATTTTTTTGGCAGTGGACGCAACATTTAAAAATTTCGCCTCGAATTTCCACCGCAACTGTAATCAGTAACTTTTAAGAAGCATCAGCGCTGATGATAGCGGCTCGGTGTCCAGCGGCGGAGAGGGACGCGGGCGTTTCACCAATGATGGTTCGGAGGATTATTTCCCAAGAATGTCGGCTGAACTGGCCAATAAGCTGAAGTACAAATTTTGGGCATAAAAAGCAGACATGCGCCACGTGTTTGTTGTCACTGTTTCATTGTGGCGCCGTTGTGTTTTTCATAATTCTAGCATTGTCTGCTAAATTTTTTAAACTGTTGTTCTAAGAATTAAGTGTTTTTTTTTTTAAAGTTATTTTCTTTTCAAATCTCCCAATAAATAGTGTTTTCGTTTTTCTTTTTTTTTTTAAATTTTTTTTTTTAGAAGCAATGTCGTTTGACATCAATCTTTATATCATCGTTCATTTTTATCCTCTTTTTAAAGTTTTATTCGATCTCTTTCCCATGCTACTCCAACAGTTATCCCTTTTTATTTAGTAACTAAGCATTGTGGACTCATCGTTCATCATTTTACACGCTCCAAAAGCAGCACAATGGGCATCATAGTGTCATACCCCAGACCTGCTCCTCAATGCCTCAGTTTTTGCTTTTTCAGTGAATAGTAGCGGCACATTTTATTGTTGTGTTTTAGTTGTGATGGTGTACCGCTTCCCCCTCCCGTCCCCCACGCTTGTCCTGTTGAA